CTTTCTTGCTGTGGATAAACCCCAATTCCGAGTCCTCTAAATCTCCAAAGTTAATAACAGCCACCCATTGGCTTAGGAATAAAACAAAGGGGAAAGTGAAATTGAGGGACTGACCACAACCCCTCATTGGTGAAAACCACTGAGTTCAGGGTTTTTGAAATGTGCCTATCCTAATCCAGAATCAACCCTACTGCAAGCAAATATCAAACTGCTGTACCATGGCACCATATCTAGGCTTTCAATTTTAGGTTTTGTCCCAGCTCCATAAATATATACTGCTCCCTGGTGTGATGTTAATCCACTTAGTATATCCTCTGCAAATACAGGGGCCTGGTCCTTCAGGTGGAGCTTGGGTTAGGGGTGTGCCTCCTCCTACAGCTTGAGGTCCTTTATCTGCTGGACTCCTGCATCCCACTGTTGCCTTCACTGTCTTAGCTGACAAAGGACAGTGATGTGATATCTTCTATATTGCACTTTCTGGCCCAGGAGGAGCAGGTGATGGTCTGGGAACACATACTGGCCATTATTTCTTGGGGCTGTGGAAACTCATTCCCCACACAGTTATACATTGTGTTTCTCTTTGAAGGCACTGATCACTGATTAGAACTCCACCTCTATTCTCTTCATATCTGTGTCCATACAGACTGGGACCTCCTTGAAGAGAGAATTATACCTACTGGTTCACTGTGGAATTCCCAGTTCTTGTCAAAGGGCCCTGCACATAGATGCTCAAGAAGCATCTTGATTACATGAAATAAACAATAGTCATCAACAATAATCACTCTCTGCCCAAACACTTTGTCGTTAACAAAACAATTTTACTTATGCCATTTGATCCCTACATCAAACAAGGCAGTAGAGGCCCTGAACGCTGAGACTGGCTTGTGTCATCTCACTCAGTTCTCTAGAACCAACCATGAACAATGTAGAGCTTTTGGAGAGCCAGGTGTTACATTATTATAACTTGAAATTAGACAGGGTATGGGAATTTATACCCCACAGCTTGACAAATCAGGGTTCTTGTTCTACAGAGAGCAGGTTTATCAGCAGATCAATAGCAGAAGGTGTGTTCAAAAATATTCTGTGAATAGGCAGATGAAGAGCACTGTAAATTTGGTACGGCCTAGTTTTAGGCCGATAGACAGCGGCCCTTTCGGGTTCTGAGCCTCATTGCTCAGTGAGATATTGAGCCCAAATGCATTTACTTACTTCAGCAAATATTTTTTCAGGGCCAGCTTTGTGCCAGAGATGTCCTGCCGGAGCAAATCTGGCTGAGCAACTAGCGGTTGGTTGAGATGAAGCCGCTTTTCCTGGGAGCTCTTCTCAGGGGTCTCCCCCAAGAGGCCTCATCTGTTGCTGCCCAGAGCTATGACTAGATCAGGACCCAGTACCTCACCACTGTGTGAGGGCTGAGGCTGGTGCTCGTGCCACACATCAAGAATCTGCTGTGTGATGACAGCCCCTGGTTTTTACCCACTGCCCTTGGCCCCTTCCATGGGTCATGTGCTCCCTACCAAAGACAGCCTCACAGAGCTTCCGTCAGGAGCAGGGTGAAATCTGAACTCCGACCTACTCTAGAGCCCCTTCGGTAAGGCTGCTTCTTATACACTCTTAACATTTACCAGGATGATGGTGTGACCAGCAAATACACAGGCTACACTGGAAAACACATGAACACTGCCCATATCTACACAGGTCCAATTATGTGCTGAATTTTGTTTAACTCCCGTCTCCAAATTCTTATGTTGAAGTTCTAATTCCCAGTACCTTTCAATAAGACTAAGTAAGGATAAGACTAAGAAATCGTGTTGAAGTACTGTGAACTACTATTCCAAGATGATAATCACCTTTATAAAAAGGGGAAATTTCGACATGGATGCACACAGGGAGAATGCCAAGTGAAAATAATTCAGAGAACTGCGTGATACTTATACAAACCAAGGAACACCAAAGATCACAAGCAAACCACTAGCAATTAAGACAAATGCATGGACCAGTCTTCTTCATCATCCTCAGAAGGAACCAAACTGCAGATACCCTGATTTCAGACTGTTGACCTCCAGCACAGTGAAATAATACATTTTTGTTAAGTGTCCTTGCTTGTAGGACTTTGCGAGAGCATTCACAGGAAGGCAGTGCAGGTCCCTTGCTATGCCTCCAGACTGGGCAACACCGAATTGGAACCTGGGTGTTATTACAAAATGATAATGGTTAAAATCAAACACTAGAGCTCCAGGCATATACCTCAAATAAGAAGCCCTGGGTTTGGGGTCAAATTAGAACGACCCTGAATGAGTACTTGGGCTGTTCCAGGTGGCAACTCTGGTTCTATGGGAACAAACACAGTGACTGCAGACACTGGAAGTACTCTGGCAGCAGCAAGTTGAATCATCACCAAAGGACTGGTCTCAAATCTGACACGTGCTCACTCTCAGGAGCTGGATGACAAAGAAGGTTCCACAATGACAGAGGTATGGAAGAGCATGGAGAGAGACTGCTGACCTATCTCTGGGGCTTCATATAATACCTCAGCCTGTGAGATTCTCATATCAAATTTTCCTCTATTAAGAGAAATGCTATTTTCAGCAAGTTCACCATGAAGAGATTTGATCCATGTGTCAGAAAAGGATGAGATAGGTCAAATATTGATCTTTGGCTTTAAATCCTTCATTCAAATTCCTCATGGGGAACACATGGATCTAGATACTGTTTGCCTTTGATTCCCCCTGGGTGATCCAAGCATAAGGACTGGCATGGAGCAGATACTGATCCTTTGTCCTACCTTTCCATTTCCCAGGCTTGGTTATCTGATATGATGTTGACGGGAGGTGATTCCCTGAATGATGGTACACTGGCACTTTGCATTACCTAGCTCTCTGTCTGCACTGGATAACCAGGATGTGGACTCCTGGAATCCCCAGTGCTATGTGCCAGAGATGACTCCACAGAGCCCTGCCTGAGCTTGACCAGCAGGGCATTCATACTCATTCATTCCTATCCTTTCACACAGCCACACTTTACCTGTACACACACACTTTTAAAGGAATACTAGAGCTGGGCGTGCTGGTGCACACACCTGTAATCCCAGAACTCAGGAAGCTGAGGCAGGAGGATTGCTGTGAATTTGAGGCCAGGCTGAGTTACATAGTGAAAGGAAGAAACTCTTATTTATGCTAAGGGGAGGTGGGGAGCTTTTCTGCTATAATTCTCTACATACAAGTGCCTTTCTCCAGCAGATGAGCAATGCACCTCTGGAGAAGTCAGCATGGTAGGCCCATATGCCTCTGAGGACTGTTGGCAGGGAAATATCATTTTAGATATTCTGCCTTTGTTCCGAAGTGTACTTATTGTATAACAGGTCACATATTACAGTTCTTAGGTCAGAAAACAAGACCCAACAATTTACCCTTGAGAAGGGTCAGCATCCTGGAGGGTGATGTTAGAGTCCCACATACCTGGTAGCAAGCAGAGCAATCGCACAGACCCCTTCCTTTTCTAGAGGTCAGAAACTATGGGGCAGCGATGGAGCAGCATCTTGGTGAAGGAGTTTTTACTGTGTTTACTTTCCTCTCCAGCTGCCTGTTAAAGCAGGATGCTGCAGACACCAGCTACTCTGATTGCTGTCTAGAGCCCTAGTGCTACTCAATTGATGGTATTCTTCCTTCTGCATTATCTGTTTTCTTCCTTGGAAAAGTCTGTCAAGGCTGGTGATTTGTGTCACTTTTGCTTGTGGGCCATCAATTCTCCTGGTCTCAGGAAGAATATTTTATCTCTTTCCATCCAGTAGCCTGAGTTTCTGACAGGGAACAAGTTAGGGACGTGCTGACCTCTATGACATATGCGAATTCAAGGTGACTTTTTATCGTAGCGAATCCTAGTGTTTCTATCTTCTCCTTCCTCTTGCATCTTCCCTTTGGTACCTACATATCATGCTGACTTTCATTAAAGTCATGTGTTACAAGTCTTACTGCATGTGTTGTCAAATAGCTGTAGATTATTCTCTTTGTCCTTGTCTCTCCTTCTCTGTCTCTCCCCTTCCAGCCATCTATGTGTTTTCCTCTGAATGAGTATGCATATCTATATGAATATATGTATATTCACATATGCATACATACTTCTTCAGTCATTGCTTTGTCTACATTTTATTTATGACTATCCAGCCATTTGTATTTATAATTTTATATCTTTGTAGTGAATCAATGAAACCCATATATGCTGTGAATACATGTAGGGAACAGAACTCAATTTTGGTATGTGTCTGTAGGGGGCAGTTGCTGTTAAAAATATCAATACTATAACAAAGAGATGAACCTGATTTCTAACCATTCAACCTTGTAATAGGTTAAGTGATAACAAACCATTCATTGATTTTGTTTTTTTAAAAAAAGTAATAAACAGAAACATGTACCAATTGAAAGAGTCAGGCAATTCAATTATAATTAGGAAAACAAAAGCGATGAGCCTGAACAATGCTGCATTCGTTTTTTGGAGATAAGTGTTGAAAATGCCAGCTACATAACAAGGCAATGTTTGGTCTCTCATTATTAAAGGAACCAACACTAATCACCTCATATTTGAAAGTTATGTACCAATTGACTAAAGCACAAAACCCAAATGATGGGTCTAATAGACATACTTAAAGAAAAACACCCACGTAAACATAGGTCTAAATGCAATGAAAATATGCACCACAATAATATTTGAGTGAATTACATTTATCACTGCACTAGTTAATCCACCATTCTATCTAGGCATCCGTCCATCCCTGCATCCATCTATCTATCCATCTAATAAATATATTCTGAGCTTGTATGCCTTAGACACAGTGATAGTGTTACACACTTAGGGCGTGTGGTCTAGATACAAATGACCCAATGAAAGTAATAATTCTTTATCCTTGTTTTTAGACTTTGTTGCCTAAACATGTATTGTGTGGCTAGAGGAACAAGTACTTATACTGCTGACTAACAACTAAAGACAGACAGGTCATGCCAACTTACCTTTCGTAGCCAGACGAACACAGTTGATTTTGGTCTCCTGTGAACAACAGAAAGGGGTACCTGTTAATCAGTTGTTAGTTACATAAGATTGGTATATAAAATGTATATATTTGTACATTTTCTTATGTGTATGTATGTATTTTTATAATTTAAATTTTGTCTTTTTCATTTTTTCCCATTGGGTATCACCTTTTCATTCCATCTCTTTCCTTGTCAGGCTTGGAACATAATGCCATTCTGTTCACTTCATGTCACCTACTACTTCATAAATCTCTTTCCAGACAGAACTACCTTATCAACATATCAGGTACTTCCAAGTACCCAAAAAGTTCAACAGCAACACTTAGTAGGTAAGCTGTAGTATGCAGGGTGAATTGTTCAGGTGCAGATGCAACAAGGCCTCCTTTGGGAGCTATTATAAGCAATAAGGTGTCTGAATGCACAGACTGAAGGAACATTTGGCCAGAGCCCAGTCTAGATGAAACATGTAAGAATTAATCTGCAAAGCGTGGTTCAAAAATCACTATGGCCTTGACATTTCTTGTAGGACTCACAGTCTTCTTGAATATATGTGTATGTGTGTGTGTGTGTTAGTGGTTACTTAATCTTTGCTAGGCAAAGTCCCTAGTTATTGTTGGCCATTGCCCACATGAACTGTAGCCAAAATTTGTGCTGTTGTTGGACGTGCAGTAGAGTTACAGAAATGTGTACCTAGGAAGAAAATTATTGTAGCCTTCTTCACTGGGATTCACTTCCCAGAGGCCATGGACAAGTTGAACATTCCAGTGGACTAAATTATGCCCCCAACAATAGTTTGAATGCAATGAAGCAATGAACATAAAAGCAAAGAATGTAATGGTGTGAGGCACCAAACCAAGAATCTCTCAAGCATCCAGTGCTTATGGTATTGCTGGTCATTCACAAGGAACCACTGCATCTTGAAGACGTTTGGGTTAAGCAGTACAAAAAAGGGTATGCTGCAGTAACAAAACCCAAGAACCCAACAAAAATTTATTTTTAGTCAAACTACACATCCTATGGTTGGGTCTGAGGACTGGAGTGAGGGTCAGGGGATTGATGTTACCAAGGTTAATATTTCCATTTTAACAAAGGAGAAAGAAAGTGAAACAGTCAAGCTCTGATAACCAAATTCTTTGACTCAAAACAACACTTTCACTTCTGTCAAGTTTCACTGGTTAGAACAAGCCACACGGCCCTGCTGAGTTTCATTGAGGTAGGGAGACGGAACCCTGCATGCACTCAAAAATAGAGAAAAAACAGCAGTGTTCACATTGGACTTTATTCCATCTATACACACCTCTGAATGCTAGAAACCATCACTTGTAGTAAACCCAAGATGACCTTCCATAATTATCCCCAGTGGTCTTGATTCTAGACTTCAAATTTTATACAAAGTCTGCCCTTGCTTGTGCAGGAAGATGTCTGGATATTGACAAATGGTTCTCAGTTTCACTAATGTTCTTCTTTATTTTTGTTGTTTTTTTCTGATATCGGAAATTGAATCCACAACCTCGCACTTGCCAGGCAGGTGCTGTGCCACTGAGCTAAATCCCCAGCCCCACTAATGTTCTTCTTTAGCAAGTCAAGTTTAAGTCTTTTGAGGTATCTGATCCACTCATATTTGATCTCATTCTAACAGGTTATTATCATATTCTCCATCAGATGCAACTCTTTGGAAATATTTTTTCCTCTAATTTCATCCATATGAGTAGACACCTGGAAAATGCCAGTAGCAGGGCACTGTAGTATATAGTAGACACCTTCATTCAGTTCACATTTATTTGAACATCAGAATCTTTGAACTAACTGCTCATCCACTCTCTCCTTTGCTTTGGCATGCAGATCTCCTCAGTTGCTCAACTGCTTGGGCCTTGTATTTTTCCATAATAATAGCTTGAGAATAAGGTCAAATTCATTTCAGATAATGACCCACTGTCAACCGCATTTCTCTAATCTTAACATAAGACCTCACTTAAAGAAAGATGGTTGGGTTGGCATGACTTGTGCTTTGGAACAGGTGTTTTCTTATCTTCTTTTTTTATAATGAAAATGTCCCTTGTAAAACAAATAATTGTTTCATTTTATAAAACATAAAATTCAGAAATGTTTTATAAAGTACGCCAAGTAATGGCTTAAGTATATAAATAATTCATAGTTGACATGAAATTTGAACTGTGCAATTTGTTAATAAAATTTTTATAAAAGAATATATGTGGATGATATAAAGAAGGAAAAACTGACAATACCAATATAAAAATGAAAAAGACCTTACTAAATATGATACCTGAAAAACCTGAGCCACAAATAAGCTAAAATTTTCTAATAATGACAGAAGTGAGCAAACTGGTTTTTGGTTTTTTGTTTTTTGGAGAGAGAAAAAGTTCTTCAATTCTTGTTGACTTTCATTTCTGTGCTTCAGTTGAAAGAGCCTGAGATGGTTAAAGAAACTGTGAAGCCTAAATAACTGAAAAACTATCTGGGAATAGTGGCACAGCATCTTAGTGACTGCTTCTGAAAACCATGCAGAATGGTAACGGTGATGAGAGACTAGATTTAGTCTAGAGGCTCTCCAACTTCATATTAGTGCAAAGTAAGATTTTGCATATGATATATTAGGAACCTTGCCAGCTTTGTACATGATGGTGGAATACAGTGACGGGTACACGGTTGATGTGGCCAAGACTGCTGGGGGTAATTTGTAAATATAATGATCTTTTGGAATCCAAGTTTTTTTTTTTTTTTTTTTGAACCAGGAATTGAACTCAGGGCATCGTGCTTGCCAGGAAGGCGCTGTGCTGCTGAGTTATACCCCTGGCCCCTACCAAGGGGAAGGGTTCCATAACTCATGAATTTCAAAATCTGTGGATGCTTAAGTCCCTTAAGTCAGCCCTGCATATCCACAGATTCTGCAACTGCCAATACAGAGAGTTGACTATATGTAAGACAAGCTTAAAGAGATTCAACTGAATCCTTCTACAACTAAGAATCTATTCTCAGTGAATAACCTTAAATGTACAAAAAGTGTTTTATTCAAGAAGGTTGGTTTGTTGGTTCCAATGCTCTTGGTGAAAGTGTACCAACGCCATACAAGGAATGTAAACATTATGTACCCCCCCCAAAAGAAGGAAGGGGATCATGGGATGGGAGAAGGGGGAAGGGAGAAAGGGAAAAAGGGATTGAAAAAGAAATCTAGATGTGTTAGGTACACATACCAACTTCCCACAGTCAGTGTAAACATTATATACTGTACACAGGCACTAATAAACTAAAATAATAAAAAGTCAGAAGCAACATATTTGTCTAACCAAATAGGCATTGTAAAAGCAAGGTTGTGGTTTATCTACACAATGGAATATTTTAAAGCAAAAAATGATTGTTATGGCTATGTAGCAACATGAAATAGTATGCGTAAAAATTATTAAATGAGCAGTTTCTTTCCCTTTTACAATATCTATTGTACTTTTCAGTTTTGTGTACTCTTTCAGGTTCTTATACTACTAATTTCTATTGGTTTATTGAAAGGAACAGTTAATGTTTGTTTGATCAATCTTGCATACCTATATCTGGCAATCTGAGCAACTACTTTGAAGACAACAATAAGTAATACAACAGCCATTATTGATTTCCTACCATCATGTGTTGAAATTCTGTGTCATTTTATAGTTTTTGTTATTTGTTTTGTTGCTTCATTTTTGTTATTTTGTTTTTGTTCTTTTCTCCTGAAAATAATTAAAAAATTATGAAATGACTAATGCAAAGTACTGTTTTATTACAGCTAATGTGTACATCTAATAATGTAAAAAATAAGTCTTGAAGAAAATATATTAAATTTTATTAACTATTCTACTGTTAAAGTATAACATCAAATCAAAAAAGTACACTGATCTTCAGTTTAAGAAATTTTTCAGGAAATAAACATAACCTCTGTCCAGTAGCCAGGTCAAAACAGCAAGAGCTCTTCTTCACACTCCTGGTTGTTTCCTTCTGACAAAGATAACCACTACCCTGCTTTCTTTGGAAGCATTCTCTTTAAAATGTAGTTACATTGAGGGGAATCCTGGGTAGGTAGCTGCAGTGGTTTGTGATTCTGTCTTCTCTTGCTCATTGTATCATGTATGAGAACCTTCTAGCCCTCCATAGCACCATCATCTCTTCAGAATCATGCACCAAAACACACCATTTCCCCACACCACCTCTTATGCTCCGCACTTTAAAAAAATCTGTTTTCTATCAATCTAGCGTGCATGTCTGATTATGATTAAGTATTCTTGATTCTCACAAATATGACACTGATGTGTTCACTTTCTCCTAAATTCTTGACAACTTTAATTCCTTAAGTAATTTGTCTTTGTTGGTTAGAATTAGGCACAGAATAACAAAGCCCCAAGTCACTCTCCTGATCTTCTGGTGGATTAAGTTGTCAACAAGCAAATCAGAGATGGGCTGGACACTCAGAATTCTTTTTTTTGGGAGTCTGATCAGCGTAAACATTCCAGAGTCCCCAGTTAGATCAACAAGCATGAAATAGTACTGGTGTTCAGGTTGCATAAAGCTTTGGAGAAGGAAAAAGTGTATTTTCTGTTCTAGCTCCACTATGCCCTATTAACAGGGCCTAAATATCCTGGAATAGTACATACATCATTTCCTCAGCACTTTAACCTTGCTCATATTATACTTCCCACTCCAGACTTGAGAATCTGCACACAGGTATGTCACCTTGGGGTAAAACATAATAACTTTACTTTTGTGCTTCTGTTGAGACTTGCTTCTACCTGAGGTTCTACTTGTGCTGTGCAATATTGAGCAAGTCACTGTCCCTCTCTGTGCATCAATTTCCCCATCAGTTAAGTGACAGAAAAAGGGGTAGAGAAGACCATTTTGGTGGAGCAGCAGGTCATTCAAAGGTTTTCTCAAATGCTAAATCTTGTCTCAGCTACTGGCAATGTTTCTGTTTTTTTTTTCATTATTCTCTCTTCTCAGTTCTTTATACAATTCCATACCACTTCACTTCATGCA